ACTTGCTATGAAGAAATCCAAAATATTAGACCCCCCTCAAAATAAGAGATCCAATCAAACAATGGGCAACCGAAATGAACAAACACTTCTCAGAGGAAGTACAAATGGTCAATAAATACATTAAAAATGCTTGACATCGGGCTGGGGATTTAGCTCAGTGGTTCCACCGCCTGCCTTGCAAGCGGAAAGTCCCAAGTTCGATCCCCAGTACCAAAAAAAAAAAAAAAAAAGGTAAAACTATGCTGAGCTATCACGTTACCCCAGAAAGAATGGCCATCATCAAGAAATCAAATAAAAAATGCTGGTGAGGGGCCGGGGATTTAGCTCAGTGGTTCCGCTGCCTGTCTCCCAAGTGCAAGGTCCCTAGTTCGATCCCTGGTACCAAAAAAAAAAAAAAAAAATTGCCGGTGAGGCTGCAGGGGGAAAAGAAACCCTTCTTTATTGTTGGTGGGAATGTAAATTAGTACAACCACTATGGAAATCAGTATGGTGATTCCTAAAAAAACTAAAAATAAAAATTCCATTTGTTCCAGCTATCCCCCTTTCTAGGTTATCTTTCCAAAAGTGTCAAGGTCATCATATTACAGGGATACATGCATACCCATGTTCATAGCAGTACAATTTATAATAACTAGATCTTGAAAACAGCATATAGCATATGTCCATCAACAGATGAATGGACAAAGAAAATGTGGTATTCATACACAATGGAATATTATGCTGCCATAAAGAAAGATAAACGAGGCATTTGTAGGCAGATGAATGCAACCTGAGAATATAATGTTAAATGAAATAAATCAGACTCACAAACTTAAATACTGCATGGTTTCTCTTAGATGAAGAATATATATGGGGGGGGGCAAGCGAGTGACAGAACCAAAAAATATATATACTTCAGGAAAAGAAAAGTAGTATGATGTTTTTTCAACAGATGGTGTTACCCTCATATGGGGGATCCTAGAGGATGTCGTATATCCCAGAAAACCCACTGCACTTCTGGCCCTTAAGAGAAGAAATTGAAAATGCACTGAAAATGTCTCAGTTGGGCCGGGGATTTAGCTCAGTGGTTTCGCCGCCTGCTGTGCAAGCGCAAGGACACGAGTTCGACCCCTGGTACCAAAAAAAAGAAAATGTCCCAGTGGACAGTGTGTGTGTGTACACACATATGTATATGGTATATATAGATATGTATTATATACATGTGTTATATATACCTACATACGCATTACATATATACATATATTATACAATGGCACAATAATATTAATCAATATTATTTATAACAAGATTATATTATTACCTATATATTACATAAATATACATATATTATATATAATATATATGGGGCAAGAGCAAAATAGAAGAAAAATAGGTAGCAGGGAGAAGTTCAAATAATTTCCCTAGTTACCTATTCTGCTGTTTAATTTATACTTCTAGTTTCTTAGTTCGCTGAAAACAGTTTTGTCCTTGTGTTTCTTTATGAGATAGTCTTTTTTGTTTATATTTTGTACTCTAACATTCTAAGATCATGATACACAGTGTATTAACTATTATTTTCTAATTATTTTATTATATTTTGTTTCACAGGTGTATTTTATATTTTAATATCTATTTGTATTAAAATAAAATTATAAAAATATCTACCATTAAAATGTACAGCTGACTCTTATCAAGGTTTCTGAATATAAATAATTTTAAGATTATTTGAACTATCATAGACCACAGGAGAGAAAATAGTTTCCTATATTGTTTTAAATAGCCAGTATAATTGTAACTATAAAAACTAATTACAGGGCCAGGAATTTAGCTCAGTGGTTCCGGCGCCTGCCTTGTAAGCACAAGGTCCCGAGTTCAATCCCTGATACCAAAAAAAAACCTAATTACAAATTTAAAGAACTAGAAAAAAACCAGGAGTTAAGGAGACAAGGCAGGCTAAAGACGTGCTGGCCGTAATGGATAAGGTTCACGATGAAGCCCAAGAACCAGAGGAATCCCAGGTAATCTAGGAGACGGAGGCAGGTCTGGGTGTTTCAAGTGCAAACAATCAGGGCACTGGGCAAAGGAGTGCCCTAAAAGCCCCCAAGTCCTTGCTAGGACTGAGTACAGATGAAGACCCTTCATACTGGAGGAGGGATTGCCCTCATTCCCACAAGGGGATGAGGTCATCCACACCACGGTGGCCAGGGAAGAATGCCTGGGAGTGAATGGTAACTGGATATTGTGGGTTAGCAAACTGCATTCCTTCTTAAGATATTGGGGAATCTTAATTCTAACCTCTAATCGGGGTAAATTATCATCCTGTTCCTCAGTTGTTGTAGGCCTTGAAGGACTTAACCAGTCTGGTTTCTTTGTCCCCATTCTCAATTGCCTGTTGGAGGATTTCCTTTCCAAATTGTCTTCATGCGTAACACCATAATCCCCGTACCAGTAACTGAAAGAGCGTATACTCCTCCCGCTCAAGGCCATTGTATAGGTATATGGTCTGTTTAAGGACGACTTTTCATTTTAATGATGTCATTTAAAGTTCTAAATTTTGATGGAATCTCATTTATCAATTTTTTTCTTTTATACATCATGTTTTTT